GCCATATAATGCCCGGGTCTTGCAAAATACGGGCAGAAATATGAGGATGGTCATTAAGGTCATCATCGCCTGGCGTCGCATGATGCATAGGAAGGTGGCAACCGTGGAATGCTAGCGGGAAGACATTTACAGCAAAGCCTCCTGAGGTGGTATAATTAGTACCTTCAGGAGGTGGACCATTATGGTCATACAACAACTGATTCTCAACAGCATCAAGCTGATAAGCAATCGTAACAAAATGGGAAGCAGTATAACATTGACGCTGATAAGCCTGTAGGCAGACATTTGTGGTGTCAACCCACAGGCATTTGGTAGATCTGCCCGCAGATCCGATTCGGTCACCACTGGAAAGCTAGGTCTGATCTGGCAGGGTCGGCGCATGAATGACGGACGCCGTCGGCGTGGCAGAGCAGGCTGTCGGTAAGACAAACAACCCCGCAGATTAGCATCAACACGACGTCGAGAGGAAGGGGGACTGGGAGGAGGAGAATGAACGAACCTCCCAACGTCCCAATATAGACAACAAAGACAAAGGAGGGGCCGATCTCAGCCGGCGTGGGGGGGCAAATGAAGAAGAACAAGAAGAAGAAGACAGAAACGGATGATGAAGAAGTAGAAGTAGAAGAAGAAGAAGAAGAAGAAGAAGAAGAAGAAGAAGAAGAAGAAGAAGAAGAAGAAGAAGAAAAGGAGGAGGAAGAAGAAGAAGAAGAGGACGCTGGCAAAAAGGAAGGAGAAGGAGAGGGAGGGGGAGAGGGAGGGGGAGAGGGAGGGGGAGAGGGAGAGGAAGGCGGAGGCGAAGTGGAAGGGGAAGGAGGAGGAGGAGGGGGAGGGGGAGAAGAAGGGGGAAGTGGAGAGGAAGAGGGGGAAGACAGAAGAGGGGAAGATGGACAAGAAGGGGGAGGGGGAGTCGGAGGAGGAGGAGGAGAAGATGGAAAAGAGGAAGGGGGAGGAGGAGGGGGAGAGGGAGAAGGAGAAGCGAAGGAAAGGGGAGGAGAAGGTCGAAGAGGATGATGCACGGGCCAGCGAAGCATACGTCGAAACCATTGTGTAAGACGAGTTACATGTATAGGTTGTCGACGTTGAAAGCACGGATGTAACAAGTCCATCCTTGGGCCAATGTCGGAGGAGCACAGCCACGGGAAAGCAAACGGCGGACAAGCATGGTTGCCGCAGTTCTGAAATCATGCCAATTGTCACAAATCTCTCAAACCGCGTAAGCTGGCCGGTGAACACACCTGCAGGCTGATGAGAGGAATGTGTGACGCCGCACCAGGATATCATATAACAGGAAAATCCCAGGCAACTGCCTTGTCAACCACACTCAATCGGAGAGATCCGTCTGCTCGTGTCTGCAGTTTCACACCTAAAAATGTGCAAGAGCCATCAGCCGCAGTGGTCTCCTTCCATTCAAGACCATAATAGGTTGGCGATGGTGGCAGACAACCAAAGGTAAGAACATCATCAATGAACCGACAACTGAAAACATATCGGCGAGCTGCAGAGGGATCCACACGCTGCAGGTTGTCCCCGTACTCCGCCTCATCCCAATAGAGTGTGAGGTTAGCAAACAAACAAGGCCATCCGCTGTATATAGATATGTATTAGTAAAAATAAACCAAAGATGTTGAAGAATGTCAGACACAGAAAGAGTGTCAGATCCTGTATCCGTAGTCCATTCCCCTGCACGCGGTCCACGGACCACCATACGAAGGGCAACACAGGGTGAGCGTGTCCATGTATGCTGCTGTGCCTGTGCAAGAGCATAGGCATGTGCCTCATCAACAGCCTTAGCAACATTGTTAAGAATCCGTTGATGAGAAAGATTAGTATA